GAAAATATCAGAGCGCAGGGATCATATTATAGGTGAATCTTTAGAATTTTGAAAATATCAGAACGTCATTCACTCAAGGTAAAAACAAATCAAAACTTCTGACAAACTTTTGACAATCTTTTTGAACTTGATGAAGTGAGATCATGTATACTAGTGTCCTATTGCTTGAAAAGATGTTTTCTCAAAGGGCCGACATCGATGTGAAGAAGCAAAAGGTGAAATTGAGCGGTTAGACGGACTACTATTCTGCCCTTCTCTCCTTCAGTTCTCAACTTCATTCGGCTACATGTGTTCCATTCTTTGCTAAAAATATAATAATACACTTGGATTTGCTAATGTTCTCGTTGAAGACCTATTCCAATAAAAAGTCTCATCAGCGGTTGTCGTTACATTGCTCACTGTAACCAACTGGTTATTGATGACATCTCGTTCATAACTGTTCATAGAGAGACCAGTTCCCCTACACGCAAGTCACAGGAACCAACAATCTGAGAAGACAACTGCTTTTCTCCAAACAGACCGAAGCATAATGGTAATCAGCGTTGGCTGACTCTTCTGGAATGCGCCGTTTTCATTGCTAGGATGGCTGACATGCACGAAAATTCAATTCCTGCCGATGATCAAATTCATGAATCTATTACTGCAGACCCCTGCCCTCCCTCTATTGTTAAAGTCGGCTGTATGGGAACAATAACAAATGAATGTCCTGTGCAGCATAGGTGATGCCATTCCAAAAAGTCGTTTGAATATTCATTCAAACTTCTCGAGCGCTGAATCGACATGACCTATCTAACATGAATCAAATCTATTGTGGCTTCTAACCAATACACGAAGCAGTAATAGATGTAAAACACGGAAAATCAGTCGTTTGTATGAAAGCACACTCGACTACAGTATTAAGTTTGTCACTAATTAATCTAATCTCCAGATTTAAAATGGTACAAATTCGCTAGATATAAGAGGTGTTTCTTCAGTTCGAAGGGAGAGACAAGAATACATTCGGGACAGCAGGTATATCAAGGGATAAAGAGCGCGGTGGACGGAAAGCACAAGTCCGGGTTCGAGACGCGTCCGGAGCCGATGTTTTGCCAACAGCTCGCCCAACTTGTGAGACTTTCGAATCACGATTACAGCAGGTAACAAAACATCAATGGAAAACAAGGTATGGACATTGTCTACGAGGAATTTATGTTTTTGGTTAAGTTGTCCGTTCCGGAGCTCTCAACCTTGTTTCAGAATAAAATTAATTGGGAGCCAGCATACTATAGCAGATGAATCAGCATACTTGAATTGTAAGACTGGAAAAGGAGAGCTACAGTGCTGACAATCCATTTCCTTGTGATGAGCAATGCAGTTGTCTTCCACTTGCCAATTTTTCCTTAAGAATGTGCCTCTTACACAACATTAGTTGAATGAGTGTTCAGGTGGTTCATGTATGACTCAATCCTACCCATTTATGCATCCACGACACTTCCATTCCGGAAATTATGCAATATTTCTGCAAAGTGAAGTGAAGTGAACTTACAGAAGCCATATGATTCATTTCGATGCTTGCTCCGAACAGATTTGGCTTGTTGCTGTGCCTTTCTACTGACCACATACGCCACTTAACGTAAGATAATTGCAACTTGCCATAAAATCAGCCCTCTTCAATCCGCACGCTTGTTGTCCAAATTATCCTCTGAGTGGTTTTCGATTCATCTTTTGAGAACTCATCAGCAGGGATCGGGTTAGGTGCCGAATAGCTAGACAACAGAGAATTGATTGCTCTAGCATTGGTATCGATGTTCAGGTTTATGACCTCCTCCCCCTCCCCTTCACCCTTTTCCCGAGTATTTAAGTAGTTCCGTAGTTTCATACTCATACTTCATACCATTTCTGGCTAAACTCGCTCAAAATAGAATAGTTTCCGCAGAGTCAGCCTTAGCTCTCAACTATGGCCATTGGTCTTTTTCCAATCAGTAGGAGTTATCATTAAAGCCATAGGTCTGCTCCGAGTACTGGGCGGTAAGGCTAACCAACTTTTGCTGACTTAATTTCTGCTTACTCAAGCAGCCTTTACTGACGCGTTATCGGCAGCCTTATCAGCGGTGACCTTGCAATCCCCCTTAACTTCACTAATACTACTATTAGACAATCTTAATCTGCTTTGAATTCTGCTGTCTCCATTTCCATTCGTGTTCATTTGCTCGAACGCCACAAACAACGATTTGCCCGTTCCTCTCGTCGTTCTCCGGCCATGGCTGCTCATATACATACGCCCGCCCACATTCGCGCCCTTAGTGATATCTGTGCGCTGACGCGGTCTACCAGCAACTAACCAGCCATGGTCGACAAATGTGGTAAGTGGTTTCCATTACAGTACTTTTGTTTTGACAGTAGGCCTTGACAGTATTTCATCAAGAATATGTTTGTTCTAAGATGGACAGGTGAAGGTGGCGGCAGGGATTGCTTCATGATACTTTTTTCGAGAGAGAGTGCCTTCCCTTCCCGAAGCCATGTCATACTTCTCTTTATCGAACCACCTCAACATCCTATCACGGACAGTGAGGGAGGCCGGGAAACATCCAGTGGACGCTAATTGAGAAAATGGAGGTTATGTGTTGGGAAGAGGGATAGATTTTGCCTAACTCTCCCTGTTCCTTTTATTCCAGCTGTTTTATTCAGTAGTTGTCAAATTCAAGAACTTCTGTTGTAAACAACTCTCAACATTCGAATGCAGTCGTGAATTCAAGGCTCAAAATTGATCTTTTTGGAACAAACTTCCAGGCTGTGCACCAGGTGGTCTGCCCGATTCTTTTCCTAATAGGCTTTTTGCCATTTTTACTCATTGGATTTAAATGGCTCTCGAAAAATCAACAACTTTCGAAGTCCCTTCTGCCTTATTGCACATCCACCGGCAACCTTTCCTAATATTACAAGCCGGTTTTTTCCTCAAGAACTGAATAATGCGAAGAGAGATCTCAGTGTATAGCTGTTACTCCATAGTAACCATAAAAGCTTTCTTTGTTCTCCCCAGTCTTTTCGGGTCTTCAATAGGGATATATACTCCCGTTTGGTTTTAACGAGCATTTACGGAGCATTGTGTGACTGGTTGGTCAACGCTCCTTCCAGTTGATCTTTCGTATCGCACTAGTTTCAAGAACCCCTGAGCAAATTCTTTTAATCAGTCGAAAACGGCTTTTCCGAAACCATTCTCATGTTATCTTTGGGCTACGCCGCGCTCGTCTCGTACCTCTCCTATCGCCATTTTCTGTTGGGAAGTATCCAATCTCTTTTTCATAGGATCAGAAAAGAATTGCGCTTATAAGAAGCAAGTGGTTAAAAGCATTTTTCGATAACCTCCGTTGTACATTTATACATCCGGATATTCGATTTCCTCACATTCTGCAATTTATGGGTCAAGCATCATCGCTCTTATGAACTCCCTGTGATCATTCGTGAATTCACGTTTTGTTCCACGAGTTCAATGACCTTGCAATTTTCACGCAATTAGATAAAACTAGGTCCTCAGCAAAGACCCTCGTCGTTGTCCACGACCTCATTTCAAGTTGGACGACAAGGCACCATTGAGAAAAACCACTTCGGTGGCAGTACAAATCGTCAGTTTTTTGCCAATCATATCGATTCCAAGCAATTTTGTTGGATTGTTTGCAGAACGACGACGTCGTTAGTGGGGGGCGAAATCTCAACAGCCCATAACTGGCTACAATTTGTTGATGGCATGCAATCAGATCCCAGTCATTTGATAGCAATTAGGTTCTTGTTTTTTTGAGATCATCGAGATCGCATATTTTTTTCAGAAAAATGCGGCTGTGAAGCCGGCTGCAAGTGCTGCGAAGGTGGCCAATGCGAAAAGGATTGCAAGTGTTGCCAAAAAGGTTGTAGTTGCGGTCCAAACTGCAAATGTGAAGCTGGATGTTGTGGAAAGGGTGATAAGAAGTGCTGCTCTGAAGAGAAGAAATGTGGCGACGAGGGAGGCAAAAAATGCTGTGAAGGAAAACCATGCTGCAAGTGTACGTTTGAACTTTTTTCGATCTGAATAGTTAAGATACGAGTCCATGCTATAGAAGGGTAGTGGGTGATGCCAGCATTCATGAATCGTTGAGTAGGCCGAAGATTGAAAGGCCGAAGTTATATTCAGAAATTCGTTCGCCCATGTAAGATTAATGCATGGCCCATCCAGCACAACAGCGAATGTACCGTGTTAAAGCCCGGAAATTACACTTTTCAGATATTGAAAAGTATAGAGTAATGAGCTCTTTAACGGCAGCCACCCGAATTGCCTCTTGACGACTAATCAATGCCGTTGATGATTGTCCACCAGACTATGCATTATGCTGTTGATAGAGCTGCTTTTACTTTTAATACTTAGCATCGAACAGAAAAGATTCCAATCAGGAAGGGAACCAGGAATCGGTAGGCGTGAACTAGATTCGATCGTTGGACCCTAGTAACTCATCCGTAGAATTCTCATGTCTGCAAGTTTTCTGACCGATGACTTGCGACCAACCGAATCTATGGTCTCAAAAGGTTCCTCAAGTATGGGTAGATCCCCTCCAACGTTTTGAATATATAACAACAATTCTGAGAGAGCAGTTTGAGAGATGTTTTGTTAATATATACCGCGGCCTGCAAGTTAGAGTAGTTCAGGACCTGCTCACTGACTTCTCGTCTCAGGATTAACATCCCAAAGCGCTTCGAGACCCTCTAATACTCAACGTAGCGCACAAGAATCGGTCAAAATCCTCCATATTGTGAAGCTCCGACTGAAAACGAATGGTTCCTCTCACAGATTACGTAGACAATTGCAGGCTTGAGACCTTTGCGAGGCTTTTGTTTTTGCAGTAGATTTATGGAAGTGCGAGTTGCAGAAATAGCATTATTCGTGGAACAGATCACGTGGAACAGATCAGATCAGATCAGATTCGTGGTTTTCGAGTAGAGAATAATGGAATAGTCCCATTTTTGTCTAGAGATGAGCAAAACCGTTTTCATTTCGTAGGCAATCCCGTTCTCGGTTCCATTGTGCAAATCCTCACATTTCTCGTTGTTTTTACTGAGGCTTTGTGAGCTTGTGTCTGTGGGCCATTATCGCGCTTCCCAAGAGATGAATTCGGAATTCGGGTGTTCGGTGAGGGCTAATTCTGTATGTTCGTACCCATACAAGTCCGTGGGTACAGAGGCTCTGGTTGTTCCACTCTTTCTAAATAGGTCTCGCTTGTAGTAGTAGACAACTCACTATTATGAATCCCTCAGTCGAATTCTCAATGATGCACTCTTTACTCTACCTGATGGCTATTCACAGGAGTTAGACGACATGTTGCCATATTTTTAAGTCGGCTGTAAGAAAATCGAAATCTCTTGGTTCGCTCTTCAATGATGACTATAGAACCCTCTCCCTCCAGTTCCATTAGGCCTACGTACAAGCACCTTAGTAGACAACACATTCCAGAGTAATTGTCTATTTTATTATGTCACGATTTCACGATTTTTTTATATCCCTTATGCTTGCACTAATGGCTTTGACATTCTGAGCTACTAAGAAACGGATTAATGTCGTTCCCTTTCAAAGCACTCGACATGAACACGTCGGCAATGCGAGCCCTGAAGCCAATTGAATTTGGTAGTCAATCCAGTGGTGCCTCGAGTGCCGTTCAGCTTTTTTGATAGAGGTTTCCTGAGATATCCACCCGCCCTCTTTGTCGGCCTAAGTAGTGAGAAAATTGTACGTTTATCGTTGCCACTCGTTCCTAGCTTGAATGGTCAATGACCGATGCTATTCCGTGCTCGAGAAAAACTCAGATTTCATCGAGTTTGGGAGAGAAGACTTACTCTATATACATATGTGGTATGGTAGTCCGCCTCCCCCGTGCATACCATTGACTATTTCGCAATTCTCTACATTACCGGGTGACTCACCTTGGTTGCCCTTTTAAAATATGTAGGTAGAAAAAAGACCGTGGCGAAAAGTGTCCCCACACGTCTGCGACCTCGACCGATGTGACATGCGAGGTAGCTGCCAGTCATTGATCCAATCTTCGGTACCATATGCCCCATTTCGGTTCATGGAAGTTCATTTGATCGAAGTGCAATCTTCACGTGGCAGTAGTTGGAAAAACGTCGCCCGGGACTGGGATCTGTTAGCGTTGCCCCATACATTGCACAAATGGAAAAAGGCTGTGAGGCTTTTCCGGCACTCTGGCAAGAAAATGGCGGCAACTACGCCCCTAAACCCATCCGGAACGCGCGAGCCCCGATGCCGGGCAATATCAGAAGATATTTTGAAGCACCTATCTAGTTTTGGTCCGGATATATTCCCAGTTCAGTAGCATTTATTGGTGATAGGTGCGTCATTAACCCCACTTCTCTTCAATTTTAAGAGAGTCCTGCCCCTAAATTCATGCTGAAAATTAACAGACCTTTGCACGGCAGCTGCCTATTTTTCTGGCTCTTGCGGGCTTTTCTTTTTTTGCTCATGTTGCCTTCTAGGCTTTCCAGACTCCAACAATGTGATAAAAAGAGTAATTCCCACAAAACTTTTGTAGCACAATGACTGCAACTTTAAGCACACGCAACTGCTGCTACAAACAACCAAGTGAAATTGTATGTTGAAAGTCATGCCCATGGTCTCCATTGTGCAATCCCTTGAGAAAAAATACTGGGAAAGAATCAAAGCACCAAGCGAACTTGCCACTTGAGCCTTGGACCTATGCTTTGTATTTTCCACAGCTGGATTACAGTCGAGATAATACAGTAGATGGATTTGCATTATCAGCTCTCCTAATGGCTCCTAATGGCAAAACAGAAATATTTGTTTACTCATTTCTTATTTGCAGGACCGATGTCCAAGTATGTTACCTATCGCGTAGAAACGACTAGTAAATTATAACAATAGACTAGAAGATAACTGGGCAATTGCACGTTTCCCCTCTTACATGTACTAAATGCAAGGGATCCACTTCTACTATCCCGCTTTCGTAAAGCATTCGTTTCGTGGTTCGAATAAAAGTTCTGCTCTCTATGTTCCGTAAGTCCTCTTCGACCCAACTAGCATCGAGAAGTCAAAGGGTTGCTTACCGTGAGTGGGTGGAACAAGAAATGTAGATCAGGCTAGGCAAGTGCAGCGCAGCTTTCCTTTCGGAAAGTATTTATGTTGGTCTGTTGAATTATGAAGATGGTTAGATCCGTATTTCCACACGGACGAAGGAACATGGCCGCGGGTGAGCCAACTTATGTGAAAGAAACACTGTGGTGGGCTAGGTTTTACAAATAGTGTAGGTTTGAGGTGGTAGAACTTTGCACATAAAGCAACTAAGGCATACCATCTAATTTGATGTGTCTTTGAACACGTTCCAGGCAAATGGAGCCCCATGACATCAAACTGCTTCCTCCGCCTTCTAGTTGAGTTCAGAAAAGGCGTTGACATAGGAAGCATGCTGCTGAACATTGGATACGCCTCCGAGCGTATGAGAGAAGCCTGTCCTGTCAATCAACTGAAGTTTTTTGCCCCATAATGAGCCTCTTTGGACATACATATATTCTTAATTGTTATTCTGAAATTGATGAACTGCGTTTATGAGATTTCGAAAGAAGAGCATTGAACAGCCCACAGGAGCAGTCCGCGCCACAGAGGAAAAAAGGTCCCATGCCGCAGTATGCAGTTCGTTCATTGGAAGGCATTTGAGAAACCATATCTATGTTATTGTCGACCATCGTCCTCCAATTTCGCTGTAGTGCTCCTGCGACGCGGCTTGGTTTTTCTGTTCATTGCTTCGTCGTGTTCCCAATTCAATAGCAGAACATCCTTTCGAATTGACTGGAATATTGCCGTCTCTCTTAGACCTCATTGTCACCACTCTTAGCCGAACAGCTTAGTTTTTATCAACTTCTGAATGACTAACGGACGCCACGAAGAAACCCCACTACACACTGCCACTGTGTTGTGGAATTTCTTTCTGTTGTCCGTTAGTCATTCAGAATTTGATAAGAACTAAACTGTTGGGCCAGATGTGTAGAGATATCGACCGTAATGCGGAAAGAGTTTCATAGCTTCATCTTCGAAATCATCGCCTTCATCTTACCAGAACTCTTCTGGAACATTTTAATAGCCTTTTGTGAAGGGCTTCGGTGTCCATTTTTAATAGGCAGGTAACAGGGCATCCGTTGTATTCATTCAAATAGATGAATTTCGGAGTTGACAATACTATTGGGAAAGTGTAAGCAGATTAGTATTATCAGAGAGATTATAACCCTAAGGAATGAAAAGACTGTGTTGATCAGAAACCTTTTTGGCGTCAGAACGACCCATTTAGCACCAATGCCACTGGTCAATGTTCATTTTTTGTCAAGGGCTGCTAGTCAATTCTATTGACAGAATTCGAGGAGGAAAAATTGGCGGTGTCAAATTTCACGGGCGTCACAAATCAGCGTCATTTTTCTGATCGAGGGACTGAATATATCCTAGAATGAATCCTCACAAATGAAGAAACCTTTGGATATCTCATGATCCCACGTAGCAGGCCCTTCACAATAATTAGGGACTACATGTCTTCCTGTTCGCCATTCACTGTCCACAGGCGCCTGCAAATTCCAGGATTCCTTTTTGATTATATCAATTGCCTCATTTTAAGTGCTTGTTTGTTCGTTCGCAAGGAATGGAGCAGGTGATAGACGAAGTGAATTAGGTGTATCCAAAGATTTTTATTGCTTCATATAGTTAATTCGTTTTTTTGCAGAAACAAACCGGGAAGTCGAGCGATGGACGTTGTCGACTGCTCTCCCTGCATCAATCATATTCTTCTCTTGAGCAGCCATTATTCCCAATTTATAATACATGTATTTCCTTTTGTTTAATTTCCTATTATGTATGTGTAAGTTGCGATACTTATGTTTACAAGTACGTATTTCATATCGGCAAAGTCAAATGAAGCATTTTGCTGAATTGTTTGATAAACAAAAGAATCGTCTCACAATCAGACTATGAACACTTAAAGGGGTGGGATTACCTGGTATGGCCAAGGAGCTACGCCCGTACATGGA